TTTTTATGTTTAAACAAACAGATATATTAGGAATTCATAGTAAGTTTTGCATACATTTTATATAACTATAAAACATGCAAAATGCTTACATGATTCTGAGATGTTTACGTATCCCAAACCCCCTAGATCTTTCTTTCTCTTATTAGATGTACTTTGAAAACAATGTTCGAAAAGCATCATACTATGCCATTCAGCCTGAAGAAGGGGAAAAATTGGTATATAGCTACTTAAGTAGAGAAAAAGTTCTAAAACACAAAAGGTAGTTCTATAGCGTAAGAAAATTGATCTACCCGAGATGCGACTGATGTTTCTGTTTTTTATTTTATATATATGAGATCTCATACATATATCTCAGTCTGAAGTATACATATATTTTAAAGCAGGTTTTGGTGGTTATCTTAAAAGTCACATTTAAAATTAGAATAGTCCCTGTCCCACTTGAAAATAAGATGAAAAAAGCTTTAAAATTTTTTTTTTATAATTGACAGAGAATAAAGCAGGCAAGAACAAAAAATAGGATGAAAAATCGCTTCTCTTTGTGCCACAGAAAAAAATATCACAAGCTTGTTTGTTTTTGGCACCCAGTTTATAGCCTAGCAATCTGAGTCTATGAACTTAAGCCTTCATGGATGAGTGCACCAATTGGCTTTTGAATTACAGGATAGCATTACTCAATTAACTTTGAGACTAGCTAGCCCTTTCAAGCAATATAGTTAGCAGTGGCACACAATATTTCAGTTCTAAAATGAGAATGTCAACTGTGAAACTAAATTTACAATTTCAGTTGTTTCTCTATCAGCCCCCTCCCACACTTACTACGAATTTGAATAATACAACTACAAGAAGCACTGAAATAAAAACGTGTGCATTCTAGGCTTATCGGCAAGTCCTATCACTTTAATTACTTGGAGCTTGTCAAAATATAGGCTGATGCACACAAGGAAATCTGTGCCCTGCATGCCACATTATTAATGCTTCACCCTTAGCCAATGAAAGTAAATGTTTACCCGGCTGGGGCAACAAAAGATAGAAAGGGCTGGGAAATCATGACCCCACACTTTGCAGCGTCCCCATAGAGTTCACCGTACTATCCCTATGCCAGCAAGCTCACTTGAAGACCGAACTGCAAGATACAATTAGAAGGAACAAGAATTCCCCCAGTACAGCAGACCATGTAAATACTTACATATTACACACATGTGTGTGCACATACACGCATCCCTCACATGTTTTATCAGTACTCCTTAGTAATTAGCACACTATTAAATTTTGCCTCTGCTGACAAGTCTATGGTCAAACTGTCAATGAAAAAGTTCTGGTAAATGTTAAATTCTGTTTTAAATATAGAGGGCCTATCTATCACCTGGGCTTAGGAAGCCATCTGCCACATACCAGAAGCACTTTCACATTTAAAGGTGTTAATTTATTGGTGACACTAACATATTTCTGGCTTTTTACAAGATTAAATATAAGCCATATGAAGTATTGTTACGATCATCTGTAGTCAAGCTATAATTGACATTAACCAGATTTTAGGTTTAAGAAAGAGAAAAAGAGAGAAAGTATGTGTGTGTGTTTGCGTGTGTGTGTGTGTTCAGGGTATGCTGAGCAGGGATATGGAGTTTTTACCTTATAAGCTGTCTGACTTAGTGAAAACCAAAATACTCACTTGAACGCAAGTATATCTTTAATTGTATGTTTTCACTGTGGAACTTACAAATTAAAAAAGCATACCTTAACAAATTATAATAATATAAGCTAATTTTGAGCATTTGCAATGTGCCAGGAACACTTGCATGTAACAACTCATTCAATCCTAGTAACAACTGACGTGCTATTATATGTTTTTCATAGTTGAAGAAATTGACAGGTTAAGTAACTTGCCAAAGTTGCCAAGTTCACAGGGCTAACAAAAGCTCGCACTCCTGATTTCAAGCCATACGACTCCTTGTTAGCAAATGGGCAATAAAGTCTTGTTTATCCTCAATTCCTACTGGTATTAAGTGTGAGGAAAGTAGAGGGGACAAGGAAGACGTGAAGCCTCTGAAACAATTCAGTGAAGAGTTACTGAATTACATTCCAACAGGTATAATTTCTTGCAGACTTAAACAAGGAAAAATTACCTATAAGATTGTTAAAGCCTCTGCAGTAGAAAGAGAAATGCGTGACACAATGATGAGGCAGAGACATCAAATAGCCATATTCACAAAGAATTAGAATCAACATAAATTCAATATTGTTGTAGTCTATTTTCAAAATGGTTGCATATGAGCCAGGCGTGGTAGCACACACTTGTCGTCCTACTTACTGGGGAGACTGAGGTGGGAGGATCCCTTGAGTCCAGGAGTTGGAGGCTGCAGAGAGCTATGATCATGCCACTGCACTCCAGCCTGAGTGACAGAAGGAGACCTAGTGTCTTAAAATCAAATTGGTAGATATGAAGTAGTCTGTAGTCGTTTTCACTGAACTATGGAAAAAGGCTTCACAATTGTCACCCATGCATCAAACAAGTGCTGCTTTTAAAATGTGAGGTGCAGTTACAGGTCTCAGAAAAATAATTTAATGGTGAAAAAGGAAAACACTGTCTGTTTACAGATGACAGACAAAAAGGCAATTGTTAAAGGTATGTAGTCCGTCATTGTCATTTTCACCTAAAAGAAAATAAACACAAATGGTGGAATGTATTTAAGGCAAATAGAGAAAACAGTCCAAAGAAGATTTGAATGTTGTTAGAGTTGGAAAGAAACTTAGTGAGCAATTTCAACCTGTGCATGTTACATAAAATAAAATTAAGTTCAGCAGAATTTGATCTCCCTGTGCAGGTGTTATCTTCAGCTCTGGGTATGAGTTGCACTTCTAGCGGCAGTGTATGGAGTTAAGGACACAGGAAGATGATACCTAGAACCCTGGAAGCTTCAACTTTGAGAAGTGGGCAGATGAAGAGCAAACCATGAAAACAGCTAGTTAGGAGCAATGGAGAGAGAGCAGCAAAGCCAAAGAGTGTGATGTCATGGGAGCCTGGGAAGGAAGGAATTTCAGGAGAGAATAAGCATTGGTGTGATGAGAGAAAGAAGTCTAAGAAGATCAGAACTGGAAAATGATCATTAGATGTGTTGGTTATTGTTTGGTAGTGACGTTAGCAAAAGCAGTTTCAGGAGCGTGGTTATAACAGAAGATGGCTATGTGTTAAGTAATGAATGGGAGAATAAAAAAACAGATAAGACAGTAAGGGAAGAACTCATATTCAATAAGCTTGAAGAAAAGAAAAAGATGAAGTAGTGGACAAAGAAATGCGTAAGGAAAAATGGTCAGGTGAGAATGAGAAGAATAATTGAAACCATGTGGGGAAAGGCAATGAAAACAGGTGTCCCAGCTCAGGCTGATGCATGAGCCTTGACAGGAGACACCCAGCGTGCTCTGAGATCATGAAGATGGGAAATGAATGGACACACGTACAGCTATGTGGTTCTCTCACCTGAGTTTTTTTTTTTTATGTTTGACTTCTTAAATCGCATGTAGGTTATTTTAACAAACGATACAAGGTTTTTAAAAATCTCCTTCCCTTATTGCCCATGGGAAGTCTGGAATGAAGGAATAAACGGTCAGCCTCAAGCCTGGACCCTGCACTCACAAGGAGTTAGACAAGCTCTTGCTGGCAGTGTGCATCTTCTCCCACACTCCCTTCCCTCCATCCTCCATTCACGGGAATCATTTCCTCATTCTCCAGATCCTTCCACCAGCTACGGAAATTAGGTTCTCACGCCATTAGAAAACACTGAGGAGATTAACAGGGAGGAGTTTAACTATCTTCAGTCGTGTGAAGGCTGGCAGGTTCTTAGCCTTGCCAACTATCTATTTTCCTTGCGTGGTTTCTGCCAGAGGCAAGAGCAAACAGCAAACAGAAGAAAAGGGTGGTAGCAGGGAAGAGTACTCTTGAAAAAATTAAAAGAAAAAGAAGAGACAAAGACTTAGAAGAGGGAAGATTACTGCTGAAATTAAACCAGAAGCAGGTTACAAAAGAAAGGTTGGTCACAGAATTAAAAAGCTATTATGTGTATTTGTCTAAGATTTTGTGGATTACCTAATGTATTGGATTATACAGCTTATTTCCAAACAGGTTTCCCTCTACAAACATGCACCTACCAGATATCTGTTTGAGTCCTTTCCTGAGAACCAAAAGCTCTGTGTACAGTTAATTATGGTTCCTTCCTCCAGTAAGAGACTAAGGCAAGAGGTTACCCTGAAAGGTCATGCTGCCCTAATATTTTAGCAACCTCGACTTTGGAATTCTTTAATTGTAAGATCGAAGATACAGTTTTCAAACTAGATATTAGATACATTTTTCACTTCCACCATTTCACCCTTAATCTTAAAGGTCTGCTAGTGATTTCTCAGATGGGGAACAAAGTCTCTGAATTACTGATGTTAGCCAGAACTTGCTAATTTAAATTCACCGCAGAGGGATTCGCAATAGCTATCTTGCTTAAGGGCATGCACTCCTAAAGTTTCAGGAATCCTCAGGATTTTCGAGTGTTGGGCAATAATGCAATTCTGCTTCTGATAAAGCTAGATTCACTTAAGCATTTTTAAAGCACCTAACACATGCTTGACACTGGGCTGTTTGCTGAGAATATAAAAATGAATGATATGTAAACTCAGTCCCTCAAGATCGCATACATAGAGAAAAGCACAAGTATGTATTTTATAATTTCCACGATCTGATTTCTTTGGAGGTTGTTAAAAATCAGAATGCCAAGACCTCTGATATATCCATTATCTGTGTGTTATCAGCAAAGCTACTTCAACATAAATAAGCAAAAGGATATATAACAGTCAATTAGGCAAACTAAAAGTTCTAGATGAAGAGACTTTATCTAAAAGAGTAACAAATGAGCATAGGAGAAATACCAGCTACCCACCTGACCAATCCCAAGAAACGATAATAAAGAAACACAGTCACCCACACACACACACTACAACAACCACAGTGAAAATCTTACCTGACTTGCCCACGCCTGCTCTCCCAAATATTGCCAGTTTGACCTCTGCACTTTTAGCCATGATGGGTGCTGGTAGACAATTTACTGTTGTTAAAACTAAAACACTGAGCAAATCTTTTTGGTTCCAGTCTTTGGATTCACCATATCATTGTAAATCTTGGAAGAGTCCACAATCCTTAAACAAAAGAAATTTGGGAATTCATAAGAGACTGGAAAATGAATTAATATTTATTAAGCATCTAGTATATGCCAGCCACCATTCACTTTATCAACATTTTCTAGTTTGATCTTTACCACTATCCTGTGAGAAGTCTATGGTAACTTACTGTAAATGATTTAGCTAATAAATGGTAGATTCAGGACTTGGATTTTGATCTGGTTGGTACTAAAACATGCATTAGCATTTCAGGACTTGGATTTTGATCTGGTTGGTACTAAAACATGCATTAGCATATCACACACAATAGCATTTCTAAAGTACTTCCTCAAGAAATTTTTTTTATGAAGGTATTGATTCTTGGTAGTAATAGAAAGTAAATACTTAAAAGTATGTGAATACACACATTTACCATCTATCTGTAAACATTCAGGGTACAAACACATGCAGTGGGGCAATGGAGAAAGTCACTTGTGGGCCTCTTCATGTCTCTTTGGGTTGAATAATATACATTCATATTAGTAAATTCCAATGCAACACAATTCAATTTTGCATCTCAAAGTTAAATTTTATCTCAATTCACACTTGATCACATGATGAAGTCATGTAACAGATACAGACACACATGTTCTAGGAATCAATATATAATATGTAGATTATATTTTTATATTTTGCTGGGCACCATGCCCTGGTACACAAACAATACATGCCATGCTCCAAGTTATTATTCCTTTTCTATGATGACTTCAAGTAAATTAGTTTATAATGCTGTCTTAAAACTTGGGAAATAACATTACGTACAAAGTAAGCACATCTTATTTAGTTTGGTGCTTTAGGAATGACATCTAGGTTCTTAGGACCACGGAAATGTAAATTTGGAAAGAGCTTTGGTGGTGGTGGGGGCTGGAGTGGGGGTCATCTGAAGGAATCTTCTAGCCATTCTTCTAGCAAGAATCTTCCCTTAGGACATAACAATCATTCCATATTCCATTCCTGACTTACCACTTCCAGGTATGAAAGGTAGGCTCATTACTTCTGAAAGCTGCTTCATTTCTCCAATTAGGAGAAACTGCCTTTCTAATATTGAGCTCTAATCTGTCTCCTTGTGGCTTCTACTCATTTGTCCTGGTTTTTCTCTATGAAATAACTCAAAATAAGTCAACTTTTTATTTCACTCAGAACCGTTCAAGGATCCTAGTGTCTAGTAGGACCCTTGCTCCATCCTAGGCTTCCTTTTTCTAGGAACTTGAGGCCCAGCCTGTCCACTTGTTCTTCCTGGAATGCACACTCTCGTTTATGTTTTTTTGACCTTTACTCCCTTTTTCATCATGTGCATTGCCTCCTCAACATCTTAATCACTTTAAAAACGTGGTGTCCACTGCATTCCACTTTGAGATATGACCTGACAAACTGACCCAGTATAAATTCCCTGAGATTTTCACTATCGTTAATCTGCATACCATGGCTGTACTGTAGCACAGTACAGCAATCAATGGCTTAAACCTAAATACAACACTGCACTTTTACCCGTGTTAAACTTAATCACATCAGTCTTCATAATTCATTCAGTTTTCAAGTCTGTAAAGACGTTTTAAACACAAATATGTTATCTAAATGTGTTAACTGTTCCTGCTAGACTTTTTCCATCTATAAATTTTTACAAAGAGTTTCTTAAGAGAGAGAAATAAAAAAGTGGAAACCCTTCTGAAAAAGTATTTTTACAAAGACATTAACATGCAATTGTTTTCTTCCTTATGTATTTAAGCTATCATCCTATACCTAACAAGGTTTTGTATTTGCTGATTTTCAAAGTGCCAGAGCTTCCTCTGAAGGAAGGAAAAATCAACATTAACATTAGCTATTGTTTACTTCATCCTCAATAATGAAAAAGTGTCTAAGTAATCATTAATAACAAAAACCAGAAGCTTAAACATCTGCAATTTGTCCAGTCCCATATTTTTGGCTAAAGATAAAAAGATTTCCTTATTTGTCACTTTAGATGCATTCATTAAGAAAAGGCCCCTATGTCTTCAAGGTTTAGTGCTTCATCACAGAAACATAATATATGGAGATACATTAACTATTTAAATTATAAATGAGAAGAGGTGCTGGCAAGTATTTCTTTGAAACATTGAAGTGTCTGGAGCTAGTATAAACAATAATTTTCTATTTCATGCAAAACTGTTAATATCCATGGATATAAAATGCAAGTAATTATCTCTCTGATTAATATTTCATGAAAGTAGCCATCAAATGTGATTTAAAAAAAAATGACAAGTCCCATTTTTTAGTAACTCCTAAATGGCCTCAGAGGCATAGGAATTTCACTTAAGAAAGAGAAATTGTGTGAGCTATTTCTTCCATTTATAACCTAATAAAGATACAGCTGGTTATTGTCAACCTAGTGTTATGTTTAGAAAAATCACTTAAAGGAAGACACAAAACTGACATGAGTTCTTCAACATTTTATTTCTCACATGAAAATGTGAAAAGTTACATTTGACAAGATAGAAAACAAAAATAAATTTGTAAATTGTTGTAATAAGTAAACTGTTGCCAAGTTTCTGATGTTCACAATAATTCATAATCTGAGAGCTTCCATATGTGGATCTAAGAAAATCCATTTGTCCTAATGTTCTGCTGAAATATTCTGAGTAGGGCTGAAATTTACCATTCACTTTTTAGGTGGACGGTGCTTTATTAGGACAAAAACATCTCAGCTCCTATCACTCCTAGAGGTAAAGTCATACCTATTTAGTTTGAAGGTGTAGGTTTTTTTTTTCCTAAACATAAATTAAAGGAAAAAGGAAAAACGCTAGCCTCCAAATCCTGTATTATTAGTGATGCATTCAATGATTTATTCCACACTTACGCTACGCACATACAAATAAAAGTAGCTCCCTTCGAAGAGCTTACACTCTGTTAGACCTATGATATTTAGATCACTGTAACCTTATTTACTTACTTATTTAAAGAAAGTTTTCATTCCTAATAAATCATTCTCAAGGCTATATTTATCAAAGTTCATGCTTTCTGCTTCCTCTTGGGGGTGGGGCAAGCAAGCATCTTTATAAGGTAATCATGCTTGGAACTTCTGTTTTCAGGCGCTCATCAAAATCAACTGTAGCTATTTAGGGAAGCAAAGACCCTAGTCTAGTCCTGGAAATGAGATTCTCTTCTTTTTTGGCCTCCCCTTCTCTGGTTCTGAAATTAAGTTTTCCTGGTCTCATTACGAGGAATTCTCCCTCTTCTTATCACTACGCAGTACCCACAGCAAACCAGGATTAATTGTATAAGCCTCTTGGCTATTTAATGTTGCTCTGAAATCAACAGGTATCTCGCAATAATAAACAAACCCATTGTGGACTGCAAGTCACTTGCTTTCAGGCTAGGGAGAAAATGCAGCCTTAAGTCACAAGGGCGTTTTTCTTCTCAGCTAGGAGAGCCCTGTCAAGCCAGGCTGCCGGTGTTCACATCTCCCTCTCAGCGAACCCCAAAGCCACCCTGGGAGGAGGACCCGGTGACCAAGAGGACTGACTCAGAGGCCGAGTGCGCTCAGGGGCTCGGAATGGGTCTGCAGGAAGTCGTCCCGAAAGAGCCACCTGGACACGTGCGTGACACTCACCTGTTCACACTCTCCAGGCCAGGAGAGCCACGGTCCTCTCTGCAAGTTCGGAATGGGTCCCCCAAGATCGCGAAGCCCTCCCACGCTGAGCAGCCCGGGCTTCGGGTTGCGTTTCCAGTTGCTGGGCTGCGGTCGTGGGTGGGACTAGCCGCAGAAGCAAGTGCCACTGGCCCGGCGGGGGTCTCCTCACTCTAGCTCGCTCCGACTAGCGGCGGAGGGACTGCGGCAGGACGCGAGCTGAGCCCGGCCAAGGCCGCTGCGCTCCGCGGCCAGGATGCTGCAGTGCGGCGCTTCGGCGCCCCCTACTGGGTTCAGGGGTAGGCTCCTCCCGCCGCGCTGCCTCCCAGGCCTGCGAGCTTGAGTCTTTAACTTGCTGCACCCAAGACGGGCTTCCCTTTTTCACTGGTCATTTCCAGGCCTCTAGGCTGTCACCGAAGGGCAGCTTTCCTCGGTTAAAAGCTTGCCTAAGAAAGCATCACTACGTGGTGTTTTCTAATCCTTACTTCAAATGATCCTTACAATATCTCTTTGAAGTATTTTTAATTCTCTCTCCATGATACCCAAGAGGAAACTGAAGGAGAAGGTAATGCAAGGCTAGCAAATGACTGGAATGAAATCCAGACTGGATTGGAAACTGAGAGATGCTAGGAAAAACAAACACGGAATTCAATTGAAATTCTACTCATACATTTGAGAAAGTTCCAAAAACTTCTTGTCCTTCTCACAAGATCAGCATTTATAGGATTTGCATTGGAGTCATACTCCATTATTCTCAGACCGTAATAAAGACAATTAATATGCGAGCTGTGCTGGACCTGCTTTCATATCCCTCATCGGATTTGATTTTTACACCCTCTCTTCATGTAAGAACTAGTATTATAATTACCAGCCTTTCACAGATGAGGAGGTGAGCTTCAGAGAGGTTAAATGATCTCCCGGAAACTGAAACTTCTGAGCAAAGGAGCAGGAAACACTTATGTTATTGTTTTTCCCTTACAAATCTGGGTATTCTTACCAAGATACCAAGCGGCTTCCAGAAAACCAGTGTTATATAGAACAGACAGGGGCCTAGGGCAAACTGAGCGATCTGCAGAATGTCATCAATGGGAAGGGAGGTAACCATGGGGGCAATTTCCAGAGGCCAGGCTGACCTGGAAAGTCACTGCAGCCACGAGTGAATGGCTGAATGGAACAGCTAGATCTATGGCAAAAGGAGGAGTTCCCTTAGCTGAGCAGAAGTTGCCCTGCTAGTTCTTTGAGAAAGCTCAAACACTGTATGGTTTATGAGTTTCCTGATCCCTCATGTATCCCTCCCTCCACACCCACACATCTGGATTAGATGCCTCCCTCTATATCTCACAGGACCCTGTGATCTTATCATTGTGTTTGTGTCGTACTCATTTCTGCTCCTCAGTCCTCTCCATTAAACTGTGAGCTCCCAGAAGCCAGGAATGTACCATGTGTGACTCTGGATTCCCAGCATCATCCATACAGTGTATATACCTACAGCCTGGCATATGGTAGGTAGTTAAAAATACCTACTGAATTGAAGGAATTAAGATAAAGAAGAAGTTGTGACAGGATATGTTTGAGCTTTTTTACATACTGGATTTAGGATACACCAGCCAGTAAGAAACTGAATGTATGGGGCTGACATTTAAGAAAGAGGCCTGGAAAAGAGAGAGACTTTGGTGCCTTAGCACGCAGAAGACCTTTGACGTCTGGGATGAGATAATAATTGCCCAGATTGATTATATAGAATCTTACAGAATTCCAATTACATGGAATTGTGTGGCATTAAGGTGTTCAGGTTTCACATGTTACCTTGTTTCCCCCATTAAATCTTATACTCAGGGCAAGATTTAATTTTAAAAAAATTCTGTGACCCTATATCGATAAATATACTCTTTACAGAGACCTGAGTTGGAATTCCCACTTTGCCACTCTTATTTAATAGGAGTTATTGACCAGCCTGGCCAACATGGTAGAGACATTGTCTCTACTAAAAATACAAAAAATTAGCCAGGCGTGGTGGCACGAGCCTGTAATCCCAACACTTTGGGAGGCTGAGGTGGGCAGATCACCTGAGGTCAGAAGTTCGAAACCAGCCTGGCCAATGTGGTGAAACCCCGTCTCTACTAAAAATATAAAAATTAGCCAGGCGTGGTAGAAGGAACCTGTAATCCCAGCTACTCTGGAGGCTGAGGCAGGAGAATCAGTCGAACCCCAGAGGCGGTGGTTGTAGTAAGCCAAGATGGCACCATTGCACTCCAGCCTGGGTGTCAAAGAGAGACTCTGTCTCAAGAAAAGAAAAAAAAAAAAAAGAGTTTTCGAAGCGGGCCCAAGACAGGTCCCATTTGTAGTAGTTCTTTTGGAACTTGCCTATGGAACCTGATTCTCTCCATTTTCCTGCTTAGCCCATAGATGACAGCACTCCTCCGTCAACTAGGGAGGCGTTTGCACACACACCTGCAGTTCTTGATGTGCTGCTGTAAGAGAGATGAAGTAGCTATCTTGGAGCCTGACACCCACTGTGTGATATTTTCTGTATGTATCCTATATTCTGTAGGCTGCTTCCTTTGTCTTGAAAGCAGCAAGAAGAAGCATCCTCTCTTGTAGTGCCTGCCTCATGGATCAGGAGAAAGGGCAGAGGACACTTTGTACTTATGGTTCCATGATCTACGTCTGCTGGGCAAGAATTCTCCTGGGGAAAGGGGAAGTCCTTGTCACATTCCAGTCTCTTAGCCTGGCCTTAGGCTTCAGCTAAAACCTCTAACACAAAACAAGTAGATGAAGAGTTCGTATAACCACAAAGCATGTTAGAAACTGGAATTGTGTGTGTGTGTGTGTGTGTGTGTATAGCTGTTAATCATGTTTGTTGTAAATAATTCAAACAGAAGAAAAAATACAAAGATGTAGACAATCACTCCCAGAATCACACTATCCAGAAATAATAACCATTGTTAACATACGGGGACCCTTATCATTCCAGATATTGTAGAAAACAGACATCTTGATGGACAGGTATGTGAAATGGCACAGATATGCTAAGTATCATCATACTGTAGATGCTATTTTTAATTTAAAAGTACACTTAATGAAGCAGAAGATAACAAAATTAAAGTGAACATTAAAGAGTGGCTGAACTTTAGATATTTACTCACTTCATGAGTTATTCACCCTAAAGATTCCTTTACAGTTTGAATTATTACATAAAACCAGATCTGAATTCATTATGCTTAAACATATATTTGTTTTAGTCAATATCAACTGACTGTTTGCTATTTAAAAAGAAGAAAATAGCTCTTTCATTATGTCTCTTTTTTTTTCTTCTCTCCTTTTATATTTTTACACAGGTTGTATTTGTTCATTGTCAAGATTTATAACATTCACATTCCACTTACAACTCTCATTCCCAAAGTTATTTAAACTTAGTTCTATATTGAAATAGAATAAATTTCTTTAATTAATTCTTTTGTCATGGTTTTTCTATTATTGATTATTTTGATTCATCCCTTGATATCTTCATTAAGCAGTGTTTTCAAGAAGGTCTTGCAGGTGCTGTATTGTATAATTGAGAATACCTGTTTCTTCCTTTTCTTGTTGTTTTTAAATTTGTTATTAGCCTACTTTTGCTTACAATGGCCGCCTTCTCCTTTTTTTTTCCTGCGTAGTGTTTTTATATTTATTATTTGTTTCATTTTAAGATCAGGACTCATATTTGCTATGATACAAATTCAGTTAATTGTGCTTGACCTTCATTCCTATCTTATCTGAAGCTTGTTTGTTTTTTCTATAAAGCAATGGTTTGAAGATGAGCATTGTATTCTGTCTACCAATTCCGAGATGAGAAGATGGTAAAGGAAAGAGAAGAGGGTTTCTGAGTCTCTGTGCTGCCTCTGATAGAGGTTACATGCTCTACTTTTGTTCTCAGGTTTTGCTAAAGACTCTGTCCCAGGATTTAGTGCAGACAGTCAGGATCACATACTGTTTCAGAAAGATTCCCTTAAGCCTGAGATTGCATTCTTCATTCATTCTTGGAGCCCTCTACTCTCTCTCCCAAGCCATTTCCACTATGACTACTCACTCTGCCCTCTCCTCCCGTCAGAAAAGTGTAGTTGTTCAGTTCATTTCACTCCAAATTTGGAGACATTCTTAATTAGTGAGAAAGAATACTTAGGATTTGATCACTCATCAGTACTGCTTCTGGAAAGCCGGGACTTTCTATATCGTGATCTTTTATTTTCTTTATTTCATTTCGAAGTTACATGGCAACAAATGATACTCCTTTCCTTATTTCGTTGCTACTAATGATTATCTTTTGACTTTGGGATGGGCATTTTATTGCTGTTACCATTTATTTAGTTAAATATTAGGCAAAGGCAAGACTAATTTTAGTTGAGATTGAACTTTCCTGTTTACTGGGAACAACTATAAAGGCTAACCAAAATATACAAAATAGCTGTTTGAAGCATTGGCAAACAACCAAGGCAGGACTGCACATCTGACAGAAGGAATGTGCTAGAGTTTAGCCCCACAGGCACACAGATTTTCTTGTTGGGGTCACCTTAAGGGCCCATATCCATGAAAGTGAAGCCCAAACATCATTGAGAGGTTAGAGTTCAGGGCTACTAAGGCAGCTGGGTTCAGAAGGCTATCAGAAAGGGCAGCAGCCACAGAGAGAGAAGCTCAGATATTTGCATGGAAATGTCCCTAGGATCTTGGCTAATTTCAGGGCTGCACATTGTGTGGTGAGTCTCTGAGACATCTGGTAAAAAACAACTTCCTAAAGTCTGAAAGCTCCTGAATCCCAAGATCTGAATTCCAGAGTTCTCTGAGTACTGAGAAGACATCAGAGGTTCAGCCCAGTCAGAATTCAGCAATCTTTGTGAAGTAGGAGTGAGGACAATGCCTTAGGCAGAAGAGCTGTAACCTAGGACTAAGGGTGGATCTGAAAGACATCCCCCCACAACAAAGACTGAAATGAGACCTTTACAGGAGCAATCTCATCCACCAGCAAATTAACAGCCTGCTGAAACAAAATACAACACTCTTGAAAAAGTTAACAGGATCCAGAGCCTGTATAACCATCATCTACAATGTCAAACCTACTGAATTAGTCTGCTCAGGCTGCCATAACAAAGTACCCCAGAATGGGTAACTTAAACAACAGAAGTATATTTATTACGTGTATGGAGGTTAAGAAGTCCAAGAAAGTTTCATTATGAAGCCTCTTCTTTTGGCCAGCAGGCGGCCCTCTTCTTGTGCTCACAGGACTTCCTCTGTATGAGTGCGTGGAGAGACAAAGAGAGCCTTCCAGTGTCTCTCTTTGTAAGGACATTGGTCTTATTGGATCTGATACCACCCTTATGACCTCATTTAACCTTAATTCTTTTCGGAAAAGTTCTATCTCCAAATAAAATCACGCTAAGAGTGTGGCTTCAGTATAAGCATTTTGAGAGTACACAAACATTTAGTTCATAACATAGACAATAAACATTTCCAGATAGGCAAGAAGCACATAAAATTTACCAATACTCAAGAGATAAAAATAGATGATAGATGATCTGAAGTAATTAGATGAAGACTTCAAAATTGCTAGATTA